TCTGGCTTTTCCTACCTTCCTGGGAAATTCTCTCAGAGCATGCATATCATCACCAGCCTGTCCTGTATTCCATCCAGTACTGAACTGCGATTGTAACACTCTTATGTGAAACATCTCCCTGGAAAAAGGGAGTGCTGTCTCCAGGCAGTCTTTACAGGGTCTCTCTGTGACCCTCGCTGACCTGGAGCTCGCTTTGTGGACCAGGCTAGCCTCAAATTGACACAGATCCTGCCTCTGCCTTCCAAGTCACAAAGGCTGAGATTAAAGGCTTGTGCCACCATGCATAAATTCAAAAATTGTGTTGACAGCCTTAATTCTGGGCAGACCTAACAAGCTAGGCTTGGCTACTCACCTTCAGTGTGCCAGTTAAGCAGAGAAAGTAGAGAAAGTGGCCACACAGGGAGGAAGAACAAAAGGACCCGTGACACTTCCTGGCCCAAGTCCATTTCCCAGAGGGTTAGGTTTAAAAAGACAGTGAGAGATACACATAACTAAATAATCCTGGTCGAGGTGTGGTCCTGTCCATCACCGCCCCATTGTCTGGGCTGTGGTGAGCTGTCAGAGTGGGGTGTCTCCTCTTCTGTTTGGCACCAGGCTACAGCCTTTACTCAGCATGAGAGTCCTTGGGAAATTCCAGGGTGCCGCGCGTTACAACAGGATCCTTTGTTCACATCTACACCGAGAGCCCGTGATGGTCCATAGCAGGCTGTGGAGGAAACCTGGATGGGCAGATAGTTGGGTCCTTTGCTTTTGGTTACTGTGTGACCCGCAGTGAGCTCCTTAATGTCTGTCTTGGGTAACTGATGCTGTGGTTTGAATGTGAAATGTCCCCACAGGCTCATGTGGTAAGCCAACTTGGGAGGCTGTAGAATCTTAAAGAGGCGAGCCTGGCCTAGAGGGCACTCCGCTTGCTGTCTACCAACACAGTGTGACCAGCCTTGAACTGCTAGCCGAAGCTAGAGGTGCCATGCCTACCCTACCATGAGTCTAACCTGAAATAGGCCCTTCCTTCCTCAGTGTTCTTTCTTGTCAGGTGTCTTAGTTACAGTTCTGTTGCCGTGAACAGACACCATGACCACAGCAACTCATAAAGCAAAAACATTTAATTGGGTGGCTTGCGTTTTCAGAGGTTAAGTTCATTATCATCACGGTATAACATGGTGGCATGCGGGCAGACATGGTGCTGGAGAAGGAGCTGGGCGTCCTACATCTTACAGGCAACAGGAAGTGGTCTGTGACACTAGGCGAAGCTTAAGCAAAAGAGACCTCAGAGCCCACCCCCACAGTGACACGCTTCCTCCCACAAGGCCTACCCTAACAAAGCCACACCTCCTAATAGTGCCACTCCCTTTGAGATTATGGGGGTCAGTTACATTCAAACCACATCAGGTTTTTGGTTCCAGTGACATCTATCAGAGAGTTGGGAGCATTGAGGTAGACAGTGCCTGGGTGCACAGTGAGCACTCAGTATTAGTGACAGTGACCAGGACAACAGGGACCTGAACTGGCTGCTGGATTTCCTACTGAGCCCGTGAAGCTCTGGAGAGGAGGCGGGGATGATGAGGGCTGGATTGTTCAGTGGGATGTTTGAGGGGAACTGTCAAGTGGCTGCCTGAACTTAGGTCCCCAAAAGCTCAGCCTCAGGACCGGCAAACAGAAGGGAAGGGAAGCCAGGCAAGAAGGGTCACCAAGAGGTTCTGGGCCCAGCGGATGAAGGTGATGCACACAGGTGGGCGACGCCCACAGGTGGGCGACACACACGATGCACACAGGTGGGCAGTGGCATCTAGGAAGCGTCACCATCTGGGGTTGAGTGGAAGGGGTGGGCTCATCCCCACCGCTGTCATCAAGCCCTCACAAGACTCTCCTTGGGCTTCTCAGAAGCTGAAACCAGCCTGAACCTGCTCCCAGAGCAGCTCCAGCATGACCGAGGGTTCCCAGCGAGGCCAAGACAAAGACTGCAGTCTCAAAAAGCGCTCAACTTGTGTTGAAGTATGAAGAGTGGAGACTCTCTTTACTCTGTGTCTCCCTTCTCGTGTTGAAGCATGAAGAGCAGAGATTCTCTTTACTCTGTGTCGCCCCTGTCATACAAGCTTGCTTTGAGTCCTAAACGTCTCTGCAGTTCAGATATGTAAGCTTTGTGCATCAAAAGATCTCTCTAACGTCTATCTGTTGTCTTCTAATCTATCCACCCATCATCTCTCATCCACCTATCTATAACCTATTAATTATTAATCTGTCAATATACCATCCATTTTCATCTATCTGTCATCTATCTATTATCAATCATCTGTCTGTCTGTCTATGGCCATCTAACACTTGTCTCACAGTTAGAATCCGTACCAGATGCTGCTCAGGAAAAGCTCACCTGCAGTAGTCTCTTTGTTCTGGAAATGTCAGGCCTCTCCAGAGCCTGTCTGTGACTCCCTAGCAGACCCCTCAGGTGCTCTGATTTCAGGAGAATAACAGGAGCCCGGTCTCACATACTGGGGGACTTTACAGACCTCAGGAGGGCTACAGGTTGCAGCCCATGCCCCACACTAGCATAAATAACACTCCTAGACAGGTGTGCCCCCTCCTCATTTTCCACTTACAGAGTCACTTCTTGGCAATCCAGTGCCTCTCTCTTCCCCTCCTCTGCCACCCACAAGGGAATCAGAAACAGCCTGACTACATGAAACGTCCCCTTCTTGAGACGTGTACTCTGCCTTGTGAGCCTGAAGTCTCCTCAGAGCGCCTGCCACGCAGCTATCATTGGCCTGTGTTATTGTGATGTTAATAACACTAATAAATCTCTTCCCACAAAAGATAACCCACCTCAGTGTTCACCCTAAACCCAAGCCTCTGTCTATTGTCTGTCTGTCCTTGGCATCTACCTCTGCCATTTAATTTTTAACATCCAGAGCCACTGTCTTCCATTCTACTGCATGAAGCCAGCCACCTGGCCTCTCCCACCCCCAATGTGGTAGCCCCAGGCTGGAGGCCCCATTATGCCCACATCTCCTTGTCTGGGAGGCTGTGGAGGGCATTTCCAGAGTTCTGCTGTTGTGTTTGGTCTTGCATTGGTCACTGTGTGACTGTCTCCTGTTGATAGAGAGGGCAGCTGGTAGCGGGAATAAACAATACATCCATAGATGTCGCACGGCCCGACCCTGCACTTCGCTTACCAGCTGTTCAGAGCACATGGGACTCGTTAGTACAGGGCTTCCAGCTCTTTCCGTTACTATCACGGCAGGGGGCAGGGTGGCAAGCAGGACACTCAGTAGTTAGTAGCTGAGAGCTTCATTCTGATCCTCAAACAGAGGGAGAAAGACTGGGCCTGGCGTGGGCTTTTGAAACCTCAAAGCTCACCCCAAGTGACACACTTCCTCCAACAAGGCCACACCTCCTCATCGTGCCTTTCAGATAGTGCCACCCCCTAGTGACTAACATTCAGATATATGAACTTATGGGGGGGGGGCATTCTTTTTGTTTGTTTTTTGAGACAGGGTTTCTCTGTGTAGCCCTGGCTGTCCTGGAACTCACTCTGTAGACCAAACTGGCCTTCAGCTCACAGAGATCCACCTAGTGCTGGGATTAAAGGCATTAGCCACCACCACCTGACACAGGGGCCATTCTCATTCAAACCACCACACTCAATAAACCTTGATGTCACCCAGCGCATCTTCAGACTGCTACAGGTTGTACAAGTTCTAATTGGTCTTAATAATAACAACTCGGAGTCAGATATTGGGGTAAATGCTGAAAGATTAGAGAGGAAAAAGAGGCAGTCACAGCCAACTCTCACCTTGCTGAGTCCTCAGCTGAAGAAGGGCTGACCTACTGTCTCCTCCCGCCTTATATTCCTCTCTCCACCCAGCCATATACTTCCAGTCTGCCTATAGAAACCTCCAGACCTCTACGGTTAACTAGTGGCTAGCTCCACCCTCTGATCTCCAGGCAAGCTTTATTTGTTAGAGTACAAACAAGATACCAGCACAGGTACGAGTGAGTATTTGGTTCTCAGACACTGTGGACAATCACTTGCAGGCAAGCGTACTGAGGACAGAGCCGTTTAAGCCTGCTGAAGCCTGTGTTCGCTTTCCTGTCTTGGTCTTGTCCTGCACAGAAGAGTTAACCTTTAGTCTCTGCTCAGGGTTGCCAAGTAGCAGGCTGGGTGGGATTGTAGGCCAGTGTGTTCCCAGTGGCGGTCACCTACTCATTAACACTTCTGGAAGGGTACAGTTAAACTCCAAACACTTCACAGAACACGAGCCAGGCTGCTGAGCGAAGCGTGAGGCGATTGTAACCTGCTGAGCCCTGATGGCACTGGTGAACGGGTGGAGGTCTTGCTGGAGTCACAGTGAACCTAGAGCCACCACTGCCACGATACAGAGACCCAGGTCTCAGTCTGCAGGAGAACCTAGCTCTGCCCCTTGAATGATGGGGACAGGCAACTTTCAGTTCTGTTTCCTTGGCTAGACTGGGATATCACCTACATTGCATGGTGGCTTTCATAATGACATGGGAGCAACTACAGAACGGGAAGGGGTCCTTGGTATTTGACAGCTATTGGCCCAGGCCGGAGTGGTGGGTGAATGAGTGGCCAAGTGGACAGGTCAGGCCTGTCTTGCTTGCTAGAAAAACAGGAGAAATAATGGCGACAGGACTTAGGGCCTGGCATTGTCAGGAGCCACCATCTTGAGTTCAGTTCAGACTACTGACGCCAGGGATATAATCTGTCCCTTGGGGAGATGTCCCCAGAGGCCAGCAGCCACCCCCTGCTCCATGCTTCCTACATAAATTAAGTCTATGTAAAGCCAAACTGGGGCACTGGCATTTCCTTCTGAGCCGTTCCACTTTCATTCTCTCTCAACCCACTCGGAGTTTAAGAAGTTCCTTCCCCTGCCCTCACTTGACCCAGATCACCCCAGTTTCTGCCCTCTGGGCTTCACTTGCCGCTGGGGGGCAAAGAGGGTTATATCTGCACCCAGTCCCTCTGCATGCGGCCACATCGTGGGCTGGAGATGCCACTTTCTCACTTGGTTTAATGATCAATTAATTCTGCTCAGAAAGCCCTTCGTGACCTTGCTTCTCCTCAGTCCCTGAGCTCAGAGTGGTATTTGCTGCAGGATGGCAGCTGACAACGCCACCGGAGACCTCCATGCTCCAGGGACCCTACTGAGTGTCACGGACATCATTGTGATTGCTGTTTATTTTGCCTTGAATTTGGCCGTGGGCATATGGGTAAGAACCTGCAGTGGCCCACTGGGCTCTCGCCGTAGAACTGGGGCCAGCATGTCCCTGGGTGTCTGCACGGGTTTTCTTTGGTGGCTTGCTGCCTGGGCACTAGAATTGTGGTGAGTCGCTAGCTATGCCCAAAGTCTCGGGGCAGAAGCCAGAGGCGGGAGGGTGTCCGGGGCCTGGAAGCTCCTGAGCTTAGATTCCCCCCACGATGTGACAGGCAGATGATTCGACCCAGCGACAGATCCACCAACACTGCTGTGTAGATGCCAGGCTCTTTCCTGTGCCCCATCCCCACTCCAGCCCCCTGGAAGGCCGAGCTTGTGAGCGGATAAGAAGCCAAAGCAATGAGTTTTAGATTTACCCAGTGGTCCACAGAGTGGGCATGGGATGTGCCTGGTGTCATCTCGGTACCAATCTTCAAGGCACTCATAAATGGGAGGGAGTGTAACAAGTCAGCTGTGCCCCAGCTCCCTGCACCATGGTTAGGGCAATTCCTCACCTCGGCCTAGGAGCCCTGAGGTTCTCCAGAGGAGAATCATTATCCTTTCTTTCCTTCTATGACTCCTGGCCCGAGATAAGAGCCTGGGGATGGGAGACTGGTCATGTTCACTCAGTATTGTAGGCTGGTGACAGTGCCTGCTCTACAGGGTGAGAGCTACCAGTGAGGCCTGGGAAGACACCATTGGAGCTATAGGCAGTGCCAGCAGGGCTCCAGCGGTTAGCGACGCTGGACAGTGTTGAGGGCAGCAATGGTAGTGATAGCAATGGGAGGTTTTAAAGGTGGTAATGGTGAGGATAATAATGGTGGTGATGGTAGTGATAACAATGGTGGTGGTAATGGTGACGATAATGGTAATGGTGGTGGTGGTGATGGTTATGGTGGTATTGGTAGTGGAAATGGTGATGATGATAATAATGGTGGTAATGGTCATGATAATAATGATGGTGACGGTGATAATGGTTATGGTGGTATATATACTCCACAGACTCGCCTACAGGTCAGTCTTATGGTTGCATTTCCTCAATTAAGAGTCTCTCTTCCCAGATATGTGTAGTTGACAAAAACCAACCAGTGCAGTGGTGATGGTGGTGGTGGTTGTGGTGGTGATGGTGGTGGTGGTGGTGGTGGTGGTGACGGTGACGGTGGTGGTGGTGATGGTGGTAGTGGTGGTGGTGGTGGTGGTGGTGACGGTGACGGTGGTGGTGGTGGTGGTGGTGGTGATGGTGACGGTGGTGACGGTGGTGATGGTGGTGGTGGTGGTGGTGATGGTGACGGTGGTGGTGGTGGTGGTGGTGACGGTGACGGTGGTGGTGGTGGTGGTGGTGGTGATGGTGATGATGGTGATGATGATGGTGGTGATGGTGGTGATGGTGGTGGTGGTAGAGACAGCACTAACATAATCAGTTATATCAAATAAACGGCAAATGGCTATCAACAGAGCAGGGTTCTTCTCTTACCCAGTTCTGCTCATGTTTGTACTTCTTGGGTCCTGCTTTGGTTTGGTCTTGTTTAATTTTAATTTAATTTTATTTTATTTTATGCATATGGGTATTTTGCTTGCATGTATGTCTGTGCACCATGTGTGTGTCTGGTTGGTGCCCATGGAGGCCAGAAGAGAATCAGATTCTCTGGAACTGGAGTTACAGATGGTTGTGACCAACCATGTGGCTGCTGCTCTTCAGGAAGAGTACTCAATGCTCTTAACCACTGAACCATCTCTCCAGCCCACGATGTGTGTGTGTGTGTGTGTGTGTGTGTGTGTGTATGTATGTGTGTGTGCTCCTAAACACTGAACCATCTCTCCAGCCCCACGGTGTGTGTGTGTGCTCTTAACCTCTGAACCATCTCTCCAGCCCCATGGTGCGTGTGTGTGCACACGCACACATGCACATGCGTGTGCTTGCACATGTGTGTTTTACAAGGTGATGTTTTAACATCCCCGCACTACGCATATCTCTGGTGCCATTTTTCCAACTGCATGCTCTAAGTCTCCCGGTTGCAGTGTGCTAATTGGCACAACTTCCTTATCAGCATTATACGTTCCAAGTTGATCTGTAACCTTTGATATTACCAAGGTAACCATCTGGGCGTGCCACATCCATATACGACAGGGAGCTTATACCCCTGTTGTTCCTCTGCCTGATGTTCCTGGTGTCTCTCTCCTCAGGCCTCCCTATGTCCCCAGTCACGGTGCCCAAATGAGACTAATTAGTAACCTGCCATTGCCCGTAAGTGTCCAAGTGAACCGAAGAGTTGCCGTTCTTTCCCTCCAAATCAAAAGCTAGAAATGATTAAACTCTGCGGTGGGGGGAAGACTGTAGCTCCCAGGAAAGGCTCCTGAAGGAGAGAGCTGGTGTGACTCCAGTGAGCTGGGGAACAGCAAAGAAATCAGCCTCTTTCTGACCAGATCAAAGCTCACAGCACGGCCTTCAGCTCGCCCTGCACAGGCAACCTCAGCACCTTTAGCCCTCAGCAGCGTTCTAGCGCAGCCAGCCCCTCCTCCAAGCTCACCATTCCTGGCATCACAATGGGCTCGCTGCCTGCCATCCAAGCAGAGAGAAATCCACAATGGGTGCCCACAGTCTCTGTGCTTAGGCTTGTGGGCCAAGGACTATGGAGGCTCAGAGGCCTGGGTGAAGAAGTCCAGCACTAGCTACAGGAAACTGATTCCCTAGCAGCCTCTTGGATTTGGTTCAGGAAGTCCAGTCCTGGCTAAAGGGCACGCATCTTGGTGCTGTTCTGAGAGTCACACTTGTGGTCTCTGTCCTTTCTAAAAGCTTCCGGCACTTGCGTGTAGCCGTGCACTGAGCGTCACTTGAGATGAGTAAACACGTCAGGCTGGGGAGATAGCCCGGTGGTGAAGCAAGTGCTATGTGAGCAGAAACGTCTGGGTTCAAAACCCCAGGACGCATTTAAACACACACCTGTGAGACCAATGCTTCTATGGCAAGGAGATGGGAGGCAAGCAGGAGAATCCCAGAAGCTCACAGGACAACTAGGTGGTTATGCAATGCTGCACGGCAAGAGACCCTGTCTTAAACAAAGTGGGAGATGAGGATTGACGTCAAAGGTTATCCTCTGACCTTCATACATGTGCCATGGCACATGCGTGCACACACACACACACACACACACACACAATAATACAAATGAGATACGTGTGACGCTGAAGCTTCGGCAGCAGGTCTGGACAGTGAGTTTAGACCAGAAGTTCCAAGTGGTGATAACTGCATGTAATTCTGATGCTGTAGGTTTGATGACGGGGGAGCTGTTAAGTAACCAAGTGACAAAGACCATTGTTTTAGAGAACAGTAGTTCCCAGCAGGCCAGGCCCTGGAGTCACAGGGCTGGAGAGATGGTTCAGTGGCTAGGAGCACTTGATGCTCCTCCAGGGGACCAGCGTTCAATTCCCAGCCGTGTGGTGCTTCACAAGCATCTGTTCCAGGAGATCGTACACCGTCTTCTGACCGCTGAAGGCGCCAGGTATGCACGTGGTGCACAGACACACATGCAGGCGAAACACCCATGCATGTAAAATACAAATAGAAATGCTTAAAAAAAAAAAAAAAAGATGGAACCAGTCACACTACAGTTTGACCTCCTCGGTGTGAAAGCAGCTGCTCCCCGGACAGACCCTCCAAGACAGCAGGACTGCCTGCCCAGGCAAGCTTCAATCGGAATAATAAACACAGTGTCCCCTGCAGCAGAAACCAAAAGTAAGCCGAGGTCCCCACGCCTTTGTTTTTCTGCCCTGCCTCCATTCTCTGCCTCCCAAGGACAGTCACTTTGGAGCTGACAGGCTGCTTAGAGTGTTCCTTGCCTTTTTAGCCTGTCTGTAACACCATCCCCTCCTGCTTGACCAATAGGAATAATCATTCTGTCTTAGGAGAGGAATCACAGTCCAAATTTGAAATAGAAAATAAACCAGGAATACAATAATTGTGCCTCTTTTGCTGGCTGAATAATATTCCACTGTGCGGACACGCCTCATTTTGTTTAGATATCAGTTGGTGGACTTTGAGTTGTTTCCACTTGGGGCTATTTTGACTAATGCTACCAAGAACATTCTATGTGCCTCTGTGTAGACATGTTCTCACTTCTCTGCGGGCCACATAGCATTGCTCTGCTCAGAGTGTGGAGGAGCTGCTCGGTGTTCGGCCGGAGGCAGCAGCATCCTACGTTTGTTGCAGTTCTTTCCCTTTACTGTTCTTGCAGTCTGCATGTCGAGCCGGCAGGAACACAGTGAGTGGCTACTTCCTGGCAGGCCGGGACATGACTTGGTGGCCGGTGAGTTCATCTCTCCTTTGTCCGCAGGCAGGCCTGCATTCAACCAGCATCTGCATCCCCGCGGTCACTTCCCGTGCCTCCTTCATGGTCCTTGTTTAAGGCCAGCTCAATGGGATAGGCCTGGACTGGAGGAGACCCCCAAGTTGGCTGTGTAGGGACAAACTGCTCGAAGTTCTGTAAAGGACTTTGGAGTCTGAAAGCTCTATTTCTTAGCCTGTGGGTGCCCCAACTTGTACCTCTAAGCCTGGTTGGGTTCTTCATGTGTGAAGAGGGAGTGCCCTCCTTTCCCCCTTGGACTGCCAGGTTGGAGGAGGTATTTCTGGGTCAGGTGGGACTGAGGTCATGGGCTCACAGTGATCACTTTTCTTCCTTCTGCAGATCGGAGCCTCGCTCTTTGCAAGCAGTGAGGGCTCTGGCCTCTTCATTGGACTGGCAGGCTCAGGTGCTGCTGGTGGCCTGGCTGTGGCTGGTTTCGAATGGAATGTGAGCCTCAGAGGATGGGCACCTCCTGTGGGAGGGTCAGGGCAGAGGACGGTCACATTGACTGGCCCCTGGATATGATGGCTCCCAGCAATGTGGATCAGCCAGGGTCTGCCAGACTGTGGGGCACAGCATTCCAGGGTGACCCCACTGTCCAGAGAGGCCCATAGAAGGGAGAAGTGCCAGCTTCTTACAGCAAAGAAGGGCTAGGGTAGTCTCAGCACCACTAGGCTCTGCCTCGTCTGACTGTATGCTAGGGCAGGGCTTTCAGGAGCTGTGTCCACAGTCCTTTCCTGTCTGTGTTCCCACAGGCCACCTATGTGCTTTTGGCGCTTGCATGGGTGTTTGTACCTATCTACATATCTTCAGAGGTGAGTCTTCCTGGGGCCTTGGCAGAGGCTGGACCCTCACCAAGCTAGCAGGGGCAGGCAGGACCTCTGAAACATCATGCCACAGGGCTAGGTTTACTGACATTTCTGTCGAGCAATTACAGCTGGTCCCTTTGACCCTTACAGTCACACGCAACTGGCCCACCATGGCCAGCACGCTGCCTATCGAGGCTGCTGCTCCAGGCAGCCCCTTGGTAGTACGTAGACCCGTCTGCATTATCTGAGACCCTCCTGTCCCCAGCCTCAGTCCTGCATTCGCTGAGTCAGCAATTCCCTTTCCCGAAGCTTCTGTGCTTTCTAGGTGCAGGACTTAGCCTGGGGCGGTTGAACCCCGAGATGGAGCTGGTCCTCCCCGATACTCATGTTGTATGAGAACACTTAGCCCTCATCCCTTCTGCCTACCCAGATTGTCACCTTGCCTGAGTACATCCAGAAGCGCTTCGGTGGCCAACGCATACGCATGTACCTATCTGTCCTGTCCCTGCTGCTGTCCGTCTTCACCAAGATATCGGTGAGCTGCCCCAGCCTGCTTCTGCGTAGGAACATCCAGGGTCTAGGGACGCACGGTGCATGGGAGGAGCCTGAGAGACTAGCTTCTCTGGCAACTGGTAGGTGCCCCAGCTAGGGAAACCGAGGGCCAGGGAGAGGCAGCATCTCCCAAGACTGGGACAACTGCTCCTGATGCCCAGTTAGGGGAGGGTGGGGGATGAGATCTGAGCTATTCAAAGTGAGCCAGGAACTGGCCGGTGGTGGTGCACACCTTTAATCCGAGCACTTGGGAGGCAGAGGCAGGTGGATCTCTGTGAGTTTGAGGCCTGCTTGGTCTACAGAGTGAGATCAAGGACAGCCAGAGCTGTTATACAAAGAAACCTAGGGGACTGAGTCAGGATTTACCACTAGAGGGAGCCAAAGGCCTTATGGTTCCTGCCAGTTCCAGGTTCTAAGTTTTCTCTTAGGACCTCGCCCTGGAAATAGCGAAAGCAGGAACCCCATTTTCAGCAACACAGAAAAGGAGGAACTCAGGGCCTGTCTGGGGCAAGCACCTGGTTTTACAGATAGGGAACTTGAGGTTGGAAGGAAGGTCAGTGGTTTTGTGGTAGGCCCATTACAATTCCTCAGGATTGCCTTGCTCCAGCAGCTGCAGGCTCCTGAGAGGAGCTGGCCCAGCCTAGTCTGCCATCACCTGTGGGGGCAGCACAGCCAGTTCTCAGGATCAGGAGAGGTGGATGCTATTTCCCATGGCCTCAGCAACGTCCTGCCACATCTCTCTCTCTGGGGATTCCTTGGCAATCTGGAGGGAGCTGGCCTTGAGTTTGACTGCCCCTCTCCCACTCTTCCTCTCACCCCCACCTCCCTTCTCCCAAAACCCACCTCCTAGAAGTCAGGCAGAAGGCCTGATCCTGGCCTGCCCAGGGCCCACTGTACTGTGTGTGGGCGGGGGATGGAAGGAAACACAAGACAGGCAATCCTGGGGCTCCAGTAAGGAAGAGATGTGACAGTCGGGAGGATGCCAGGGAAAGAGATGGGGGCCATCGCTAAGAACGTCTTTGGGGTAGGAGACTGAGGAGAAGCTGGGCTGGCCATGACAAGTGGTGGGGTCTGAGGAACACTGGCAGGCATACTCTAACATTCATAGAAACAGTCAAGTGTCACTTCTGGCTCTGGGACAGACAGACTGCTCTGGAGGGACAGGAGATTGTGGCCTTAGGCTGTGGGAGGTCAAAGAGCCCCAGAACTGGCTGGTTATCCACAGCTACTGCCAGGCCAGCTCTGCAGAATCACTCAGCTGAGCTGGGGGAGAAGGAAAAGGGAAATGGACCAAATCTTGGGTGCTTCCTTCCCCATCAAAGGCCTCACACTGGGAGACTCCAAGTGGACCACTGGGCAGGACTTCAGAGGGCAGAAGGAAGCACGGGAGGGGCCTCAGAGACAAGCTCAGCAGCTTGTGAGTCCTTCAAGGTTGTGGTGACTGGGCCAAGGTCAGCTAAACTCCAGGTTTCTGTCAGAACCACAACAGCCAGGATGTGGCTTCAGACTCTGCCTTGTGGGTGACTCCGAGTTACCAGCTGTAAATGGGGAGCAGTCATGTCAAGGCCTTGCCTCAGCACCAGGCCGGGCGACCTGCTGAGGCTGAGGGGAAGCGGGAGGAGGCACTAATTGCTGCGCTTCGTTTGGGAGAGGCTGGGCCCGCCCTGGGTCTTGGCTTCAAGTATGGAGCTATTTGAAGTGCGTGGGCCACAGTAGGCCCAGACACAGAGCCCAGGAACGCCCTGCCTGTCTGTACAGCTTGTCCAGGCAGAGGTCACAGGGCCCTCCCGCTGCTATTGTTCAGACAGGAGCACCAGCAGGCAGAAGATCTATCATGGCCGGTGTGGAAAATCACAGCTGGTGCTCGGAGCCAAGAGTCCTAGTGCAGTTCCATCACTGTGGGGCTCTGGAAAACAGGGGAGCGAAGCATGACACCACATGCCCCTCAATAAAGGCTAACCATGGCTCACAAGGTGATCCATCATGGCTCACAAGGTGATCCATCACACCACATCATCTCTCCCTCCCCGCTAGAGCCGCACACTGCATGTCAGCCATATTGGCCTCCATGCACTTGCACAAACACCAGGCAAGCTTCTGAGTTTCTGTCTCAGGTCCTCTGTCCTCGCTATGGTCCTCCACCACACGCTCTTCCCTGGGGATGCGTGCTGAGCCTTTGCCTCTCTGAACTCGCAAATCTCTCCTCTTTTACCCCAGTCTCTGCAGGTCTAACCCCTTTATTTTCTCTCTTTCTTCATACCTGCAACATTTTCTGGGATTATGAATTAACTGACTTAGAAAGTCATAGCTGAGGGTAGTGACTCATCCCTGTCATCCTATCATCTGAGAGGCTGAGGCAGGAGGATTGCTATGAAGTCAAGGCAAGCCTGGGTTACAGAGTAAGACCCTGTCTCAATAAATCAACCAAGAGAGAGTATATCCTCACCAGGCAGTGGTGGCGCATGCATTTAATCTCAGCACTCAGGAGGCAGAAGCAGACAGAGCTTTGTGAGTTTGAGACCAGCCTGGTTTATAGAGTGAGTTCCTGGACAGCTGGGTCTACACAGAGAAACCCTGTCTCAAAAGAAAAAAAAAATAAAGGGGAAAAAAGAAAGGAAGGAAGGAAAGAAGGAAGGAAGAAAGAAGAAAGGGAGGGAGGGAGGGAGGGAGGGAGGGAGGGAGGAAGGAAGAAAGGAAGGGCCAGAGCCTGGAAGCCTAGCCCCCTGCCTAGCAGTTATGGGCACTCTGTTATCCTCCTTGCATAAGACAAGGACAGGCAAGGCTGCAGGACTGTCAAGGGGCATGAAAGGAAAATGGGGTGGGCATTTGGAAAGAGTCCTCCGTGGCAGGGGTGGCGAGAGCCGGAGTGTGGCAAAGACAAGCAGGTCCTCTTCTGAGCCACCTTACTCCCACCTGAGACAGCCCCCACAAAATGCGCAAGGCCCTAGATCGGGAACATGAGTGACCACTGGAGGGGTCCCAGGAATTCTGTGCAGCTCCTCAGAGGAATGAACATGAGAGAAAGGTGGAAGGACAGCAGGCAGAGGGCGCAGACCCGGTCTCCATCAGCTCCTATGTCACAACAGGAAGGGCCCATTCCCATCAGACGGAGATGGAGTGGGCTCCTTTGGGAACACCAACGCTTCAGCTCAGAGCTGCGAGCCCAGCGGCGCTGCCCCTTACAGGTGTCTCCATCCCCGTCCACTGAGTTCAGGGTGAGCTGTGAGACAGCATGGATCTCCTTGGGGAACCCCAGAAGCTTGAAGGCCCAGAGTCCTGCAGCTGAAAAAGATGGTCTCATCTTCTTCCTGGGACCATGTGACCTTAAGCAAGGCAACTGTTGTCCCATGTTGGCAACTGTCTGTTAGGGGCTTGTGAGCATTATGGGAGCCGTGGATTATGTGACACTCAGGATGGTGTCTGGCATACAAACATGTATCCATTATCAAGGCTTGCCAGGCTTGCTGGGACAACAGGGCTTGGAGAACCAGCTGGGTACAAGGGCAGGCAAAGAGCTCACATGGAGAGCTCGACTGGAGTGGTGGTGTTGCTGAGGAAGAGGGAGGAGGAGAGGCCTGTGATCAGGTGAGTATGGGCCAGTCAGAACCCACTGCAGCAGCAGCAGCAGAAGCAGCCTCAGCGGAGGCCTAGCTTGTCTCAGGCCTGAGGGTAGTCCTTCCTTTAGGATGAGGGTGCCCAGTGCTGTCTTTGGGCAGTGTCTTTGGGTTTTGCCATGACAGACAAGTTCCTCCACTCTCTTGTCCTCCATATCCATGTCTTTGGAGAGTTAGGTGAGACTCTGTGGCTTCCCCCATATCACCAATAAAAGGCAGCACAAAAGACCGGAAGTCCCAGGGAGGGTCCCCATCTTCTGCACCTTTAATGCCAGGCTAGTGGGTTGTAGGGATGGAAGGCTGAGTGCGGCTGGAAACAAGTAAGTTTGTTCCACACCTGATGCCCTACTTAACAGCTAAGGACCATGATGACCCAGGAGGAGGTGACCTGCTCAAAAGGTACAAGACTGGGCCACCTAGGACAGACCCAGGTCCCCTCAGCAGTTTGCATCTATTGGTCCGAGGTGGAAGCCTAGGCTGGGCAGCGGGTGTTCAGGCAGGCCCCGCCAGTGCAGTCTCTTGGGACTGTGGAGCTCTTGCTGGATGGATAATGAGCAGGGCTTTACCCCACAGCTCTGTGCCGTCGGCCTCCCAACCCTGTTCCGCTGCTCTGGTGGAAGGCAGGGAGGACACTGTGGTTGAGTTGTGGGTCAGATGGGGAGCCTAGAAGACGGAGAAGCAGAGAGCAGACAGTCCCAGGTCCAGGAAGCTAAAAGCCTAGAAGTAGCGCAGTGCTGGAAGGGAGCGTTGGGTAACAGCCAGGAAGGGGAGTCCTGGAATAGCTGGCTCCCCTGAGGTCTCCTAGCCCCCCTCTTACTCCTGGTCAAGCCTCAGCTGGCAATGCCAGGTGCAGAGACCTAGCAGGGAGCTGGCTTTGAGAAGTCTCCCCGCTCCCTGAGCCTCAGCCTCTTCAGCAACACAAAGCAGGGTCTTTCTCCTCCAAGATGTAGCACTTGCCCTCGAGCTGAAGGCTGATCTCTCCACTGTCTTTGCCCAGACCAGTCTGCTCCCCTCGACACACACACCCAAAGCCAGGAGTCCAAATGAAAGCTTCAGCAGTCACCTGAAAACACCAGATTAGAGTTACCAGATGGGGAGACCTCTCAAATGCAGGAAGGAGCCAGTAGGGAGAGCTGGGGGTGGGGTGGGCATAAGAATAAGAGGCTGTGGTGCCGGTGCTGTGTGTAGAGGTGTTACACGGCAGGGCAGAGGTTGAGAGGAGAGGCACGGATGGGAGGAGGAGAGCATGGGAAAGGTTTTGGGAGAGATATTGGGAAGGTGTTTTGGGTAGGGGTGGTAAGAAACAGGGTCATTGAACTGAATTCCCCTCCGACATCCCGTACCATCCCTGGGGCCTAGATCCTGGAGTCTATAGCCGGGCTGGCTGCTCTAACATCCCTGAGGGAGCTCAAAGGGTCTGGGATCCACATCACCTTGGCCTCAGGAAGGCTGGGCTTTGTGCCAACTTGATCCATACAACCGGGGGCTAGGGTGACCCATGGCCTTGCACCTTCTTAGGGACCTATTGGTCCCAAAGGCTGAACTTGCGCTGTCCTCCCATGGCTCACACAACACAGAAGGGCAGGTTTGGAAACAAAGTGGATAGGGCCGAGCCCATTCTTCCAGTCCTGGTCCTAAAGCCTGCGCTTTACTTGCTCAGGACCCCCACGCACAGCTGGTGGCAGGAAGGGCCTTCCACGGGCTGCCTGTCCAGCCAAGCCCTGGGATTAGCCTTTGACACACCCGTCTTCAGGTCAGTCCCGCTGAAGGGCAACAGAACTGTCGTCTGCACGACTTGCAGCTACTTCAGAGGTGCATCAGTTTCTTTGAGTCTCTGGGGGAGTTCCTCTTGGATGCCTCCTTGACATGGTTCTTTATGGAATTGGGGGGACAAAGCTCTTTTATATCCCCCTGGGTAGGGGCCGAATTCAATGACAACACGCTATCTGGTGGGCTCTGGCCACTTTGAATTTTATTGTTGACAGTAACATTCGCCATACATCTGAACATGACACACAGCTGTCCACAGCCAGTTCTCTCTCCCACCCTCAACTACCCACCAGGTAATGAACAGCTTGTGTGGGGTGTCTTTATTCCTCTCCCCTGGGACACCTAGACTTAAAGATGGCTGAGGCCGAGTCACAAAGCCAGTGAGTACAGCCCCGGACTCTGAGCCCTGTATCTCACTACGATGTCTGACTTCTGCCCAACTCTCTTTCCCCAGATTGACCTGTATGCAGGAGCCCTGTTTGTTCACATCTGCCTGGGCTGGAATTTCTACCTGTCCACCATCCTCACCCTCGCCATCACGGCTGTGTACACCATCGCAGGTACGGTTCCTGAAAGCCCATCTGGAGCATGCAGGGGAAACCTTCCCACAGCATGGGGGAGCCCCTGGGAGTGGCCAGTTCACAGGTGTCAGACAGGGATCTGGGGGCTGGCTAACCGCTTAGGTGCTTTGGTGCCCAGCTTACCCATCTCCAAGGACAGCAAACCCACCAGCAGGTGATGCTGGTCAGACAGACTCTCCTGGCTCAGGGATGGGACACTTATCCAGCAACCTTGTTCCCGGCAGGGGGCCTGGCCACTGTGATATACACAGATGCCCTGCAGACGGTCATCATGGTGGTGGGCGCTGTCATTCTGGCAGTCAAAGGTGAGGTCTGGGGGCTGGGCAAGGGGGGGCTGTCCCAACACCCGGAAGTTCTTTAGGTTAAGCCACAGTGGATCTGCCCTACTCCTGGCCTCCTTGGCTGGTAGGCTCTGCTTCCTCCTGCCTATAGGGGCGCAGTGGTGAGGTGCTGCCGAGGCTCCCTCAGGGCTAGGCAGGCCCCACGGCAGGCAGCCGTGCAGGCATACAATTAGCAGACCACAAAACAGCTGAGGTGTTTCATCCAGCGCTTAAAGTCATGTACAGAGTCCTAGGAGGTGATGCTGTCTCCCGTCAGACAAAAGCCTGCAGGGAGGGAGGTATGCTGGACAGGTAACACTAGTCTAGAAACAGACAAGTGAGTTCTACTGATGCCCTGGAAGGGAAAGAGCTGGGGAGGCAGGGAGGAAAGATAGGTCCTAAGGTGGGTGGTTTTAAAGGTGAAACCTCAGCTCAGGGTCTGAGACCCTGTGGCAGAGGCTACCCCTGGGCCTCCTCACAGAGATTCCTGGTGAAGCAGACCCTGGCCTACCTAGGCTCCTAGCCCCACACCTGGCTGGGGTGATGCCAGAAGCTGTCCTACATCCAGGTGTGCTCCTCCCAGGGTAACAGCCTCCGTCTCCAGAATCTCCTGCAGGCGAGGGGTCTCATGGCCGTGCACAGGCTGGACGAGAGGGCAGTGACTATAGACACTGCTAGGCCAGGGCTTGGTCTTGCACCACCCAACCCTGAGGTAGATAAGACCTGTTCTGGACTCAGAGGAAAGATCCTTGACCTGAGCCCTACCTGCTAGGCTGACCATGAGGCTCAGAGGAGCCTCTGCCTCCCTTCTCTGTGTCTTGGAAGGAAGGGGCCACAATGCCAGCAGTGTCTCAGCTCTGGTCAAGTCATAGCCTTCAGAAGTCCAGGTCATGGCTTCAATACTAGATGACTCAAATACCAAGAAAACCTCTTCTTCCTCCTTGAAGGGCCAGTCCAAAGACTGGCAGAGAACCCCAGCCTGAGGCCAGCAGTCTTCCAGAGCCTAGCCATGACTCCTGCTGGCCAACAGGACATTGTGGGCCCATGTGCAAAATGCTCATGTAATAGTTATATTTTAAATACAAATAAAATACTCTATTTCACCTTTTTTCTTTTTTTAAACCTCGACCCTTCCTAGAGCAGGCAAGGTGAGGTAGGGACTCCAGTTTGATGCATGAAGTTATCTGTGAGACGAGGGTAGTAGGAGCCAGGGAGTCAGGGCCACCCAAAACCAACCCATCTGCGCCCAACCCTCCAGCTTTCAACCAGATCGGTGGTTACGAGCAGCTGGAGGCAGCCTATGCCCAGGCCGTCCCCTCCAGGACCATCCCCAACACCACCTGCCACCTGCCACGAGCTGACGCCATGCACATGTTCCGGGACCCTTCCACAGGAGACCTCCCGTGGACTGGGATGACCTTTGGTCTGACCATCATGGCCACCTGGTACTGGTGCACTGACCAGGTGAGCACCAACATTGCCCATCCCCCACCTGCTACCCTCTGGGGTGGGGTTGGGGTTCAGTTCAGCTGCTAGGGTTCCTTATGGTCTCGGGCCCTGCGCTTAGAGTCCGATGGGGCCCACTGGCTGCCACCTGCCCTGGCCTTCAGGTGCTTCGATTGGGACAATTTTGAGTATGGGATTCCAAAGGGACTTGGATGCTCCTCGGTGGCTGTGAGCTCTGCTCGGAGGCGAGTGTTTCGGGCTGGCCTTGGACTCCCAGGATCTGGTAGCATTCGGGGTGCTGGGCCACCCTTGGGCTGCCAGTGGTGGGGGCCTGCTGTGGCTGGGCTTGCTTTCTTGGGAGAGCTCTGGGTGCCATCAGCAGCAGGCCGGTAACGGGGAGGCCCCGGGGTCCTTGAGGTAGTGCCCCCGTGTCGGTGGAAGTGCTGGCCCTGGAGAGACAAAGGAGAGTGAGGTCCGGATGACATGGCAGGGGGGCAGAAGGACTCCCGTTGCATAGACCAGGCAGAGCCTGGTCTGCCTTTGCCACTCACCAGAGGGTTAACTACTTTTTCGTGCCTCAGTTTTCTCATCTGTACTATGGATGATTCTTCCCTTTGTGATCTGTGCCCCAGACCATCCATCTGCAAACAGGGTTAGATATGGAGGGAGGGACCAGAGGGGGTTGGTGGTGGCAGTGCCTCCACCTGAGCCTGGATTTCTGATGAGGACTGAGGCAATTCTGACCTCTCCTGCTTTTGAGCTCAGACAAGCCATTTCACTTCTCTGGACATAGGGACCTATCCGGAACGCTGTAGGCAGCCTTAGAGAAGTGGAGCAGGGGAGGGTCCTGTGATGGGCATACGTCCACTGATCATTGGCGTCTAGAGTCCCACTAAACTAAGCCCCCATAGGATAAGTCAACCAGGCCACGGCCGGCAGCTAGGAGGGCTGTGACCGTTTACAGAGTATCTTATGCACACACACCCGTCTCCCTGTGAGTCCAGCAGGCCAGCTCCATTCACAGGCTGAGTATCAGGGACCAGACAAACCTGATGTACACCAATTGTAGAAACAGTTCACACAGATTTCCAGTGTGAAAATCCATATGGGCAGCCAGGGGATAGAGGCACTGGGAGGCTAGGCCTTCATTTCCCTTTAGTAACTGGTTGCTCTCCAGCAGGGCTGCTCTCCTGTGGGACCCCACATGCCTGAGGTTCCCTCCTGCCCAGGCCTTTCAGGTGGCTTGAAGCAGGCAGTACACTTTTCCTTTGAGGACTGATGGCCAGCCTCAGAGGGTGAAAGGCAGCCTGGAGGGCCTCCTAGGAGAGTAGATAGGCCCCTAATCCCTGCCATCTCTTGTTTCCCCTGACCAGGCAGGGCGAACCCAGCCACACATCTCTGGGTAGAATGTCGTTTGAAAGCATTTCCCATGAAGGCCAATGAGTCAGCATCTATCCTGCCCTCATGTCATGGCTAGATGAGGGCAAATATGGAGCCCAAGAGGCCTAGAGAGGGTCACCAGGGATACAGAGGATGGTTCCTGCTAACCCAAGGTGGTCACATCACCAGCCACTCCTCCTCCCTGGTCTCACCTTGGGCTGGGTCTACTCCAGGATGCCAGGCCTTGGTATCCCAGACCCTGGGTCCCATATGGCCCTCAATGGCCCTGAGAGTCTGAATGAACTCTATCCTACATGCTATATTACACTCTTTTCCCTAGCTACAGGTCCACCCACAGTAGGTGACCATTTTGTAACCAATAGTGGGCTGGGCATGGTAGCACATGCCTTTAAACCCACTGCTTGAGAGGCAGAGGCAGGCAGATCTCCTGTGAGTTCAAGGCCAGCCTGGTCTACATAGTGAGTTCCAGGTCAACTAGGGTGACACAGTGAGACCCTGTCTTAAAAAAAAAAAAACAAAAAAAAAAAAACAGGAAGCAGGGCAATAGCAAATGAAGCACAGGCTCTGCTAAGCCACCGCCACCGCCCCTCCCAGGCCATACTGTCCTTCATATAAAGCAGAAGGCTGTACAAAGGGAACACATCCTGCAGCCCTGTAAACACAGGCAGGTCCTGGATTTCTGCACCAGCAGCATCCTCTACCACAGCCATGGCTATGAAAGCAGTTACGAACTTCAGGAAGTTTCTGGAGACATCACAATCCCTGACTTCAAACTCTACTACAGAGCTACAGTACTGAAAACAGCCTGGTATTGGCATAAGAACAGACAGGAGGACCAATGGAACCAAATAGAAGACCCGGATATCAATCCACACATCTTCAAACACCTGATCTTTGATAAAGAAGCAAAAAAATATAAAGTGGAAAAAAAAACACATTTAACAAGTGGTGCTGGCATAACTGGATATCAACATGTAGAAAAATGAAAACAGACCCATATCTATCACTATGCATAAAGCTCAAGTCCAAATGGATCAAAGACCTCAACATAAAGCCAGCCACACTGAACCTCATAGAAGAGAAAGTGGGAAATACACTTGAATGCATTGGCACAGGGAACCACTTCCTAAATAGAACCCCAGCAGCACAGACACTGAGAGAAACAATTAATAAATGGGATCTCCTGAAACTGAAAAGCTTCTGTAAAGCAAAGGACATGGTCAACAAGACAAAACGACAGCCTACAGAATGGGAAAAGATCTTCATCAACCCCACATCAGACAGAGGTCTAATCTCCAAAATATACAAAGAATTCAAGAAATTGGACACCAAAAGAACACATAAGCCAATAAAAAAAATGGAGTACAGACCTAAACAGAGAACTCTCAACAGAGAAATCTAAAATGGCTGAAAGACACTTAAGGAAATGTTCAACATCCTTAGTCATCAGAGAAATGCAAATCAAAACAATTCTGAGATTTCATCTTACACCTGTAAGAATGGACAAGATCGAAAACACTTGATGACAACTTATGCTAGAGAGGTTGTGGGGAAAAGGGAACACTTCTGCATTGCTGGTGGGAATGCAAGCTGATACCACCCCTTTGGATGTCAGTGTGGCAATTTCTCAGAAAATTAGGAAACAACCTTCCTCAAGACCCAGCAATACCACTTTTTGGTAGATATCCAAAGGATGGATGTTCAATCGTGCCCCAAGAACATGTGCTCAACTCTGTTCATAGCAGCTTTGTTTGTCATAGCCAGAACCTGGAAACAACCTAAATGCCCCTCGACCTAAGAATGGATAAGGAAAATGTGGTACATTTACACAATGGAGTACTACACAGCAGAAAACGACAGCTTGAATTTTGCAGGAAAATGGATGGAGCTAGAAAACATTAGAGTGAGGTAACCCAGACACAGAAAGACAATTATCACATGTACTCACTCATAGGTGATTTTTAAACATAAAGCAAAGAAAGCCAAGTCTACAAACCACAATCCCAGAGAACTTAGACAACAATGAGGACACTAAGAGAGACTTACATAGATCTAATCTACATGGGAAGTAGAAAGTAGAAAAAGACAAGATCTCCTGAGTAAATTGGGATCATGGGGACCTTGGGGGAGGATTGAAGGGAGAGGGGAGAGGCAGGGAGGGGAGCAGAGAAAAATGTAGAGCTCAAAAAATAGTAATAAAAAATGTATATATAAAAAGGAACTTCAAGAAGTGCATAGCAGCCCAGGGTCCTAGAGAACCAGGCCCACCAAAGCAACCAGCTTCATCCTCGAAGCCACACTTGGCTAGGTGGCAGTACCCACGTTCAGAGGTCAAGATGGTGAAGTGGCCAAGCCAGGGATGGGAGTGCAGGCCTCCCCGAAAGGAATGAATAAGCTGGGTAGTGGGGGGCACTCTGGACTGTTCCCATTTCGCGACAGCATCTGTCACAGTGCCAGCTGCTCAGGCTCAAATGTATCCTGCTAATCAAAGAGGGGCTCGGGTTACAGGTTCAGGGGATGGGGGCTTCTCTCTCCTGACAGCTGGAGTTTCGGCCAGCAGGGCGAGGCTCCGTCAGGGCTTCCCTGAAACACCCTGACTGTACAGATAAGAAACAGGCCTGCAGGGAGACAGTCTGCTGCCCCGCACTGAGGGGTCAGTGTTAGCAGCCACGCGGGAAGGAAGCGAAGATGGCAGCTTCTTCCTAGCTGTGAGTCACAGGCGCTGACCCCGACACACAGGAAAGCACATTTCGGAGTTACACTTGTACCAGCCTTCGAGCAAGCCGTGCCACCGGAACTCCTGCGCTAAACAGTGACCCACACACGCCACAAGTCCTGGCCCCACAAGCTGCCCAGAACCCTGTGAACACTCCCAACCTCCTACTTTTTCAAATCAAATCCAGATGTGTTTACATATGCCTTAATCCTATTTGGGAAACTGAGTCGGGGCGGGGATTGTTGTGAGTTCAAGGCCAGCATAGGCTACAGCTAAGTTCCTAGTCTTCCTGAGCTAGAGTAAGACACTGTCTCAAAAACAGAAGGAAAAAAGGGGGAAAGTTCTGACTAGCAGCCCACCCCCATTCTGCAGATCCAGAAACTGAGGCCATCAGGATTTACCTAGCAACCATCATTACTACTGAGGTGCAAGTTTTCCCTCAGCCTAGGTCTAGGGCTCTGCCCCGTCATGTAGTCAATGCCAATTTCTGCTCCCAGGATTTATGTGAATGTCTGTTGTTTATGAGGGTCCAGGAGGTGGGGGGGGTCTTGGAGTCCAACACACCTGGGCCCCCTTTGGTTCTGACAGACACCAGGGGACCCATTTTGCCCTGCTGGATGGACAGGGAGACAGGTGAGTGTTCCTGTGTGACGTCTGCCATGCTGGCACTCCGGCTGCTCATCTCAGGTGAGGCCAGGGATAATCACATGGCATCTATCGGTGTCACCTCACAAGGCCCACTACGGAGAGGCTCACACAGCCTCATTTCTTTACCCCCGGTGCCCCAGGTCATCGTGCAGCGGTCCCTGTCTGCCCGGAACCTGAACCATGCCAAGGCGGGCTCCATCCTAGCCAGTTACCTGAAGATGCTGCCCATGGGCCTGATGATCATGCCAGGCATGATCAGCCGAGCACTGTTCCCAGGTAGGTTGGGCTCTGCGGCCACACCTTCAGTGGCAGGGCACCCAAGGCTCTAAAGATTTAGTCTATGAAAGCCACTAGGTGACAAAGGAGGGATCTGCTGTTGCTCAATAAGGAAGAGGGAGGGACTTGTCCTTAGGAGCACAAAATAAACTACAGGAAGGTAGTTTAGATAAAGTCCAGAAGCGGAGTATTTATGACTGTGTGACCTTGCAAGTATAAAGGAACATCTGTGACCACCCATGAGCCTTGTCTGCAAACTAGGGACGGTACCTTCTACCTGGTAGGATGCATCAGACCCTGTGACTCTGAGTATGTGGAAATGTGTGCTTTTTAAAGTTGTTTTGGAGAAGATACTAGGACTGAGAGGCCCCCGGCATAAAAATGGCCAGCCACATGGCCCTGTGTGGTTCCACTCTTCCCCATTCATCATCTCTCTGTAACAGGGGTGTCACTGGAGCCAGGGACCCAATGGCTCAGGGCATGGGCATTTTGGGCTCTTGGGGTGATTGCAGAAGACGTAGGGATGAGGGATCAGACCCACCTGAGCCTGCTTGTCCATAGGGCGTTGTGGTTGCATTCTTGATGTATCTACATCTTCTCTGCCCCGACCCTGGGCCCACAGGGGGCTGCCACTCAGGGGACCACTAAAGGTCCCTCGGGTTACATGAGGGGCACTCAGCTGTCGTTGGGGTGGGTGGCCTGGCCCATTGGCCATCTGCTCTGAGTGACGCCTCTGGAGAGGTACTGACCGCTCCCTTACTTCAAAGTACTCATCTGACATGGATGAGGCCACCGAGGGCCGCCGGTGTCCAGGGCCAGGGCCAGAGCTGCCTGAGAGGCTGTCCTGGTCACTGAGGGTCACGTAGTCGTCATCTTCCTCCTCCTCCTCCGCATCCAGCCCATTGGGGAGTCCTGTCTCTAGGCCATCAGGATCATCCTGGGTCAGAGATAACTGTCGCTGTAGTGAGGCCTGGCTCTGACAGGTTGTCATGGGTAGCCTAGGGTCTATCCCATTTGGGGGTGTCTCCTTTTCTGGGGTCTCTAGGGCCCAGCCAATATCACTACCATCCTGGGCAAGAATATTTGCCACAGGAACTGTCCGGGGCTTAGGTACTGGGGCCTGTGGTTCAGGGTTCCCCTGGGAGAAGCCATTCTCAGCTGGGACCACATCCTGGGAGTCCCTGGGTGCTGGGGGAGGACAGGGTTCTGGGCAGGGACGGGCCTCCTGGCTCTGCTTCCATAGCTGGTGCTGGGTGCTGGCATGGGCCGTGTCACGGATCTTGATCCGGTTCATCTGGTTGGGCTGAGGGTTCCAGATGTTGGGATCAATAATGTTGATGTAGCCCAGGATGTCACTGCCAGGCTCTGGGTCCGGCTCCACCCATGTGGGCAAGTACTCAAACATGTTGGCCCTCTCCAGGTTGAGCAGCCCCGGGTGGATAGGTGGTAGCAGTTCAGAGAGGTCCCCTGGGCGTTCGGCAACTGTGGGGCCCTGAGGCCCTGGGGACCTCGCAACCTCCTGTTTCTCAGAGGAAGTCTTGGCAATCTCATCCACACTCTTAGCCTTGACCAGTGCATACTTAGGGTTGACAAGCTTCTTGGCCACAGTGCCCGTGGGTACCAAGGGCACCACAGATGGTAGCACAATGGGATCTGGCTCTGGTTCCTTCTCCATGGGGATGTCCTTGAGGCTGACGCCTTGAGACATGAGGTACAGCTCCTGAAACTGCCGATCAAACATCTCTACCACCTGACCAGACAGCACAGAGATCACATTCCGGTCCGTCCTTGCAGCTGACCATGTGAAGCTACAACATAAAGGCAAGGTAGTAAGTCAGGCACAGAATACATATGTCTCCCTGAAGCCCTAGTACCCTGATTCAGTGAGAGTCCCTGGCCCCTGAGGCAGGGGCATCTACAGTGTACACTCCAGCTGGGGTCTGTCAGATTGGCCACTGGGCCCTAGCATAACAACCTACGTGGCACTGGGGGTGGGGCACAGCTGGGGAGCTCAAACCCAAGTCTGGGAGCCTATGTCTAGCTCTTCCCCAGCAAACTCCTGGGACTCTACTGGACTCATGAAGGCAGCATGAGGATGCCCACTGCAGCCTCAAGCACAGGAACTACCCAGCACCGTGGCCATCACTGATGTCTTTGCTGTCATCAATCCCAGAGTTACGGTGTCAAATCTGCCCTGCCTCATGATGATGCAGAACTAGCTCTGTCCTTGAAGATGGCTCTCAGAGTGACTTCCAAGAGGGCTTGGGCAAATTCACCGTGACCTAGCCCACCCTACCCTTGGGCCAGTGACTGTGTGGGATGGAACAACGGCCTGCTTGGACAAAAGTCTTCCCTGCCTGCCTCTAGAGACTGTGGGTGGACCCAGGCCTGCGCACAGCTCAGCAGTTTTGGGAGCAATGAACTGGAATAACCAGCAGGTCACATGCAGGGATTAAGGGCAGAGCCCAGCTGGGATCCAGAGGCAGCTCCTCCCCAGTCCCAGAGGAGAATCACCTGTAGGAGCCACACACAGCCCGATCTCCATCCACAAACATGAACTTCTGGGCCAGGACACCCTTGAACTTGGTGGCTGACCGTGTGAAGAACTCTGTTCCCCCGCTGCTGCGTACCCTGAGATTCTGTGTTGGGAGACAGGGAGGCAGAGTTAGATAACCGCAGGCGCTGCTTTCACAGGCAGAAGCGGCAGAGTGCCCAGAGCCTGGAGGAGTTTGTGGGGAGTCAAGACCTGGAGTGAGGCGCAAGGTGTGGAGAACAGCAGTCTATCTGGACTGCTGGGCCAGGCACGGGCAATGGTGAAGCTGCTGCTGAATGCTGTGGGCCAGCATGTTCTCAGAGTGTCCCTAAGAGCATCCACACAGTAACATGGGGCAAGATGAGACTTCGGTGGCAAGAACAATTTGGGAAATGCTGTTTGTTCAGGGTGCTGTAGGGTCTTGAGTGAGAGGGTTAACTTTTAGGAAGGTCCTGTGGACAGCTGGGTGGCGGGTGAGAGAGGGGAATGGAAGCAGGCAGGGGCCACCCTAAGGACCCTGGGTCTTATACTCTGACACGTCCAGGGTCTTCTAGGATGACTGACCACAGGCCTTTTCCCACTCTCAACATTCCATGTCACTGACTCTGCTGAACTCCCTTACAGGCACTCGGAGAAAACTCTCTCTGGAGATGGGACGAGGTCTGGCTCCAGAGATGGTCTCATAAATGGTCATCTTCAGTCCCTATCACATGGCCTGGTTTAGAGCCAGCAGGGAAGGCCCTCAGAGCCCAGAGGAGTTCACAGAGGCCCAGGGAGGAAAGAGTCCAGTCCTGACCAAAGAGAAAGTGGAGCCACAAACTGCTGGCCTTTCCTTGGTCCTGAATACATAAAGGGACTTTCTCTCTTGTATAGCATCTCCAGAACCATCCAGGACCTGGGTGCTACAAGAGCCAATGCTGGTACGGGTGGCCAGAGGTGAGGAAAACCTGACTGAAATCTAAGCATAAAAAGGGACTGCTGAGGCTTATAAAGTAGAACAACACATACGGGACCTAGGGCCCATCTGGCTTCCCAGAGCTTTCTGACTGGTCTACTTACATGCCTCCTATAATGGAAGTCTCACTCCTGTCAGAGCTCTGGATTCAGACAATGGTTGGTGACAAAGTCTTTGTCAGACTCAGCTGTGACTCGCCTGTCTGTTCGCTCACCCACTCAGCGGCTCTAGGTTATTAACTGCCCACATGTTCCTTTGTTCACCGACCCCTGCTGAGGCCCCCAGTGCCAGACAAAGATGACAGTGACAAGGATGCTACTGTGGAGGTGGCAGTGAGGCAGATGAGTCAAAACAACCACCTGGAATGTCCAGAAGCAGAGGAGTGAATGGAGGCAGGGGTTGGGAGGCTCCTGGGAAAGGATGGCGTGGGGCAAGGTAGGAGGGCAAGCACCCCAAGGAAGGGATACAGAGGCTGGGCAGCGGAAGAGCAGGCTGTCTGCACAGCTGGACTTGATTCTGGTGAAAGAGGCCCCACCTGCTTCTGCTGTGGGCAGCAGGAGCCGTGCACAGCTAAACCCGTATGGCAATGGGCATACAGGAGGCAGAGAACAGGGAGGCTGGGCATACAAGGGAGGTGGCATGAGTGAGGGTGCCACCCACGGCAGTCTCCCGTCTAGTGCTTCCTATTCCCAGACTCCCCTGGTGGCCCAGAGCACTATCCACAGAAGTCGACAGGGGTGGTCCCTGGGTGGGTCCCTAAATGATGTCCACCCAGCTGAGGGGTGAACAATTGTCTTGTTGTTGGGCCAGACACAGAAGGCAGATAAAGCTGTTACCAGGGCCAAGCTTACTCTGGCCCCGCCTGCCCACAGGCCTGCCCACAGCCAGCTCAGCAGGAAGCTGGCCAGGGCCCAGGACAATTAGTACTCGTGACTTTGTACCTAACACACTACACACTCAGGGACCAGAGGTTGGAACAAAGATCTTAGAGGCCTTCCCTGTCACCTGTGCCAACCACAGTCCAGCTCTGTGGCATCCTGTGGTCTCAATGTCCAACACTCTGTGTGCTGGGGCCATGCGCCCCACATAGGCAACCAGCCTGCACACTTCTGTTGCTGGTGTCTCTCTACTCAGAAAGTCATTACTTACATTTTGGAGTAACTCCGCCATGTGAGACGCAGGCCTGGTTGTGTCATTCACCTGCTGTGTGATTCTAAGCAAGCCTCTGGCCCTCTCTGGGCTACCGTTTCCCTGCCTGCATAGTGGGGACTGGCGCTGAACCCATCAGCTCATCCACCACTGGGGCTGGGCAGCAGGCAGGGGCTTGCATCAGGCCCCCCGCCCTCTGCCTCCTGTTCCTGGTAGCCTCGCCCCACGGGCCTGGCCCAGATGAGGTAATGTCTCAGGTGTCTGGGCTCGCGTGAGCAGAGGTGGAGGAACCCACAAAGCTGCATTGTCTCAGGTCCTGGGATGCCCCTAGATGGGTACAGGCAGGTGGGGTGGAGGGTCCCG